TTTTATATAATTGTCATTCTAACAGGTGTGAGATGATATTTCATGTGGTTTTGCTTTGCATTTCCCTGATGATTTGTGATGTTGAACATCTTTTAATGTACCTGTTGGCCATCTGGGATGTCTTCTTTAGATGAACATCTATTCAGCTCCTCTGCCCATTTTTTAATAAAAAAGAAAGCTGTTTGCTTTCTTTGCTATGGAGCTGTATAACTTCCTCATATATTTTGAATATTAATCCTTTATTAAATATATGATTTGCAAATATTTCTCCCATTCATTAGGACCCTTTTAATTGTGTTGATGGTTTTCTTCGCTGAGCAGCAGCTTTTTAGCTTGATGTACTCCCACTTGCTTATTTTTGCTTTTGTTGCCTTTGGTTACCAACATTTTTATCTTCTTTACGTCTTTCAGAAGTCATCACTTCGTATTGAGGACAATGAGATATATGAGATTATGTTAGCTACTAAAGGCCTCTACAGGAGACTGAATATATAACTTAAAACCCCTCTAGAGCCATAAGTTGTTGAGCTAGCACAACTTATTTTGATTCTCCTCCTTTTCCTGTTGCTAATACCTGACCCGTCAAACCCACGACTGAGAAATATGGTCAATCAGAAACTTCATTCTTGCCCTTCTACTACATGGAGTCTGTTCAGTTTAAATTTTGGATAACAAAGTTCAATGATTTAAGACAAAATCTGCATAAGTGAAATGGCAATGCAATGAATGACTTTTGTCTCTGTTAGTCATACAAAGCAAGCAGTTTATATCTTTTTGGTAGATATGAATATGAATATGTCTCAAACAGTAATCCTATGGTGAATAGTGATAGTCTAGGAATTGGGAGTTCTGTTTCTTATACTGAGTACGTGTGTTCCCTCACCTCCTCAAAGAAGGCATAGAAAAAGAGTTCATGTTATTAGATTAAAATACAAGGGAAAAAAAGTCTTAAGTTTTTCCTTCATAAATTTACTTTTTGGCCTCTGCCTCCACTGTTTTATGCTAAAATTTAGTAAAAGATGACATCTGATTTATACACTTAATTATTTTAAGCTTCATTTATGATACGTCATGTTCTTCAAAAATTACTCTAACTTCTCAGTGGTGTGCTTTAAGAACCAGCTTGTGGATCTCTGCTGTAATACTTAAGCTATTTCTATTAAGCCACTTTATTTTCCATACTGTTTAGCTGAGGTTGATAACAGTGGACTATATTAACAAGAAATTAAAATACTTTCTCTTTTTCAAAAACAGCCACTAATATTGCAGAACACATTAAAACCTCTGTTAGTATATACCTTGTTTATACCTTTACTCTGCTATCCAAAATAAGTTGTATCTCTGTATAGGCACCGTCTATATTAAAAACCAAGCTCATAATAACTAATTTAATGCCTGGATTCCTTTTGAACAATTGAGATAGTATCACCATTTAATTAAAACACATATACCTAAACTAGACTCCTTATCATTAAAAAACTTCATGAAAGACATGTTTGTAATGGGGAATAAACAACAATAATTGTTCTGATTGCTAAATTGTTCTTTGCCACAGCAAAACAGAAGAGACGAATTACATGTAAGACTGAAAATGGTAATTTTCCCCGTTCAAGAAATGTAACCACACATCCGATTTCCACAACACTTCCCAATAAAGAGAACAGCATGAGTACTATCTGCAGCCAGTTTAAATATTTGTTTTAATCATGACAAGATCATTGGTTTTAATATATATAAGTTCAATGCTTAGTGCATGTTGCTCATATAATCTAATTTTCCTGATGACATATTATGACTATGCTTTAATTTCAGCAATGGCAAGAACTCAGAAACACTTTAGGTTATCATTAGTAATGGAAAACAAACCTGCTGCCTGTTCATATACCTTGTATACATATCTCATTTCAACTTCAAAGATGTTTAACTACCGGACACGATCCATTTGATTTGGACAGTTTCACAGAATATTATCAACCAGTGGCCAGCTACTTTAAATTAAGGATACGTAAAGCAATTAAAGTTGAAATATTCCACCCTTGTGCAATATTTGTAAATGGCCTTTTGGAAAATTTCAAGACAGTCTAAGCTGATGAGAACCAAACCACAAAACTGCTATAAAACGCCATTGTCTTTCTTCCCAGCCTCCTATCACTAGTTAGCAGTTGCCTGAATTGCAATTTTCTTTTTTTCTTAGATGTCACAGCATAAGCATACTTTATGACTAAAAGGATAAAAACCCCAGTGTCATGTTTCACTAATCATTAACTACAAAATAACAAACCGAATAACTACAGGTGCCTTGCTCTTAACAGCCCCAACGTTTACCAGGGCTCATCTGCACTTTTCCAGGGACAGGCTGAAGAAACTGGAAGAAAAAAGGCTGAAAGCTAAATAGCTGATTGCATTCCACAAGAGTGTACAACAAACAAATGCTACCAAACAATATTCCAAATGCCAAGAGAAGTATTCATCATTAAATAATTGCATTATTTTATGTTAATGTAAGGAAAGGTCATAATTGTAAATGAATATGTCCTAAAGTGCCTGTGGAGAAAGTAAAAAGAATAACCTGAGGTTCCATTAGAAGCCAATTGAGGAATAACTGATATATTTGTCACACCCTTATTGCTATGCCATTACCACGACTGAGAATTACAACTTGAATGGGATTGTTGCCATGTTTATTTTCAACATGATCTAACATTAGAATAACAAAAATTCATGAAAAAAATAAGTAGGCTCATTACTAAAATATCTCCCACCAAACTCAGGAAGAGAGGGAAATCTTCCTGGAGTAATAAAATAGCTACAAAAGAAGATAGTTCGCAGTGAATATAGGAAATGCCATTTGGTATTCACAATAATAAGCATTGCTACTTAATAGAATTCAGGGTGCACACCAGATTTTTCAGACATCTGAGTAATTTTTATCTGCATGTTACAGCTCTGTGTGGATCTCATCTGAGGGTGGTCCGCTGCTTAGCCATTCTAGAGAAGTTTGAAAGTCATTCTTTGTTCCCTTATATGGGGATTAACTTCTTCACCACAAGCATGGGCAAATACACAACTCTCTCTCTCTCCCTGAAAATGATGGGATGCTGAAGCCTCCAGAGTGAACCTTCTCCATAGGAAAAGCACAATGACAAACAAACACAGGGGATACATACAGCAGAGCACACATCTGCTTTAACCTTGTAACCAGCACATAGTTAAAATGTTTCTTTGGGACATTATCCAAAGAATTAAGACGTGGAGTAATTTAAATATTTGGATCAGAGTAAACAGGGTTTTTTGTTTTTTTTTGTCAATATTAATCATGATCCTATAAGCAAAGATTTTCTTTACATAAAAAATCAACCAAATGTGCTTATCTCCTGTAACAGATGGTGACGATATATACTGTTCCTATTCTCTGTTCATTATCATAATCTGTTCACACTTCTTTTTCTTATTCTTAGGATTCTCTTATTTTTCCACTTCTAATAGTTCCCAATACCCTATGCCCTATTCATTTGTTCACAAATTGTTACTGAACATCTTTAAAGCTAAGGCATGATGCTAGGTACTATATGCAATGCTCAGCAAAATATCTCTTTAAGTATTGCCACTCCCTTCCTTTCCTTTTTTTCCCTCTAATAAATAGTGGTAATCATTTTTGATGGAGAGCTCTCTATAATTTGCATCCAGTTAATCATATCTTATTTCATAAGGTAACAAAATATAAAAATTTGTAAAATAGACTGAACAATTTATATATTGATTTCTTTCCTTGGTGAGATACTTTTACTAAGTATTTAATTCAATGATGATAAGAAATACAAATGTATCTATATTATCATCAAAATTATGATGTAAATGCTATAGGATTTACATCATAAGAAGCTTAGGATTATTTTATAAATCTACTAGTGGCCTGGTGCACGGAATTCATGCAGGAAGAAGAGGTTCCCTCAGCTCAGCCTGCACCCTCTCCAATTGGGGACTGCTTGAGGGATGTCCTTTTGCAATCTGGGACCACTGGCTTCTCACCACTCACCTGCCTGTCATCCTGATCGCCCCTAACTGCCTCTGCCTGCCCCTGATGCCTCTGTCTGCCTGCATGATTACCCCTAACTGCCTCTGCCAGCCTGATCTTGCCCCCACTGCCCTCCCCTGCCAGCTAATTTGGTTCTGATTGGTTGGTTTCTATGCCAGTCAGCATCAAAAGTCCGCCTCTTAGGCAGCCATTGGCTCCTCACAGTTCACCCAGATTTGGTTCTGATTGTTTGGTTTCTATGCCAGTCAAAATCTCCAGGCCTATCTCCAGGCCTGATCAGAGAGTGAGGCTTATTAGCAGTCCTGCAGAGGCCCAGAGAGAAACAGAGGTGCAGCTGCTGGTGAAGCCTGGAGAGAAAAAAAGAGGCATGGGCTGATCAGCAGCAGCATGGAGGCTACAGATCAGACCCTGCCTCTGTCTCGGGGCCTCTCTCTGGGCCTGATCTGCAGGCTCCTCAGCAGTCAGTGCTGGGTCACTGTGCCCACACTAATGGCAGTCCAGTGCTAAGTCTCCATCGCAACCCCGCACTGACTGCAGGACTTACTTCTGATTGGTCTTCGGTTGGTCATTATGGACCTTGGGTTTTCATATATTAGGATAAATCCTTGAACATAATAACAATAATGGATATACTGAAGGAAAAAAATCCAATTCCATGAATATAATAAAAGAAAAAGTTTGTTGATAATTTCTGTGAAGAATATAGCCCATCTATGCATCCCAGGTTCAGGATCTATTCTAAAGGAATGGAATTCTCTAAGTCATATGTGGACATCACTCTCATCACTACTTGGTTATATCACTTCTATGTGACTCATACACAGTTTTTGGCATTAACATAGTAAAATAGGAGATCTTAAATCTGATGTGAGGGAGATAAAATGAAGATGTTATCTCTAAAAGCACACAGCACTTCTTGCTGGGAACATCAGAGATCATGCACAGAATGAGCACATCTACTCACCTTGGTAGGCTTCCAGCTAACTCTGTGGTTGTCTCTCTAGAAGGGAAAAAAGAAGATACGTATGAAAAGCTTATTTTGTTAAATTTTAAAAATGTGTTTAATAAAATCATAATATAATATTCCAAGGCATAACAGTATTATATATGTGCAAAAGATACTACATATGCAGCTTTTCTGGAATTCAATATTGATTAATCACATTTCTGATTAATTCCCATAAATGTTTCAATGGTTATTTTCAAAGGAAATTTTACACACATGCAAAATATCTGCCTCTACTTCCTGGTAGTAGAACTTAATTCAGTTTAAAATAATAAAATTTAAAAATGTACAACATATAGAAGGAAACAGGAGGAAGAAAATCCTAAACTACGTTTTTAGATAGTTTTCAGTTAAATCATCTGTCTTCTCTTTCCAAGAATCATTTAGGAACATGTTCTTTTAAGGTTGTGTCTTTGTGTTGATGCTGTCACCTGAGGTTTATGAAAGAATACATACAGCACAAAACCCAATTCTTTTGGTAGCAAATTACTGCTCTTCACGTCTTTGTCCCAATGTCTTACCAGTTGGAATTATTGAAAGCAGATTCTATGATAACTCAAATGGCACAAAAGACAAGTCACTAGACCAGACACAAATTTAAAAACTTAATTTTTTCTAATTGCAACATCTTGTCCTCCTATCAGAGATGTGCTCTTAAGAACAATGTGAAGTTACGATGAGGAGAGCTTGATGTTGAGATATTTTAAAAGTGGAGGGTGGCTCAACTTTAGATGGAGGGATTGAAAGTGTAATTTTCAGGGCTTCTGGATTGAACGTGGAGACTGCTGTGCTTGGAGAGAGCATGGAAGCTTCATATACCTTGTCCTAGGCATCTCTTCCACTGTTTCTGAGTTCTGTCCTTCATAATAAACTAGCAATCTGGTGTGAATCATGTGACCCAGTGACAGACAGTGATTTACTGCTTTGGTCAGGCATAGATGATTATGATTAAGGGATGCCTTTCGTCAAGGGACCTCTAGGTAAAACAAAAGGATAAAACACAGATTTCAAAGGGAAGAATATAACTTTGGTTACTCTCCAGACACTCCTTTTCAAGCAATAGAGTCTAACACTTTTGTTTTACTTTTTCAATGAGATTTCTATTAAAAAGGTACAATCATCTGGTGGTGTTACTCCATTTTCATATTCCACGGAGATCTAGATCTTGATTTGGAAGTTTTTAAAAAATATATATTTTATTGATTTTTTAGAGAGGAAGAGAGAGGGATAGAGAGTTAGAAACATCAATGAGAGAGAATCACCGATCAGCTGCCTCTTGCACACTCCCCACTGGGGATGTGCCCGCAACCAAGGCACATGCCCTTGACCGGAATTGAACCCGGGACCTTTCAGTCCTTAGGCTGATGCTCCATCCACTGAGCCAAACTAGCTTCAGCTTGATTTGGAAGTTTTTGACAACATGTTCAGTGTATGCCTTATTACCAACATGTTCAGTGTATGCCTTATTATCAACGAAGGTCATCCTGGTGTCTTCCCTGAACACCCTGCCCCAACTGCCCCAACCCATAAATAGTTATTCTAATTGTCCATTCCACCAGATGTCCTCAAAACTAACAGACAGAAAAGGGAGATAAATGGCTAACAAGTTACCACCACTTTTTGCCCCCTCTCCAGTGGTGGGCTGTTGCCAGCTTCTACTTCCTGCTCCAGCCCCAAGATTTTCTCTGAAAGCAGGAGTTCAACACATACCATGTTTAATATCATGTTTACCTCTTACATACTGTTTTTTCATCTCTCTCTCTCTCTCTCTCTCTCTCTCTCTCTCTCTCTCTCTCTCTCTCTCTCTCTGTGTGTGTGTGTGTGTGTTGAGAGAGAGAGTTATGTCATATGGTGCTTGAAAACATAATAAAATTACAACTGAAATTGAGTTGTAGTTTTGATACTTTTAAGTTATCTTTGAATAGAGGCTGCTACTCTGAACATGATGCAAAGTATAGAAGAAATCAAAGAAAGAGCTACTATCTTTGAGGACAGTTTTTAAGAGGTACACTTAGACATTATAAAGGAGATATAGGGAGGGAGGGAGAGTCGGAAAGAGGAGAAAATGGGAAAGGAGAATAAAGAGAAGAAAAGAGAAGAGATAGGCTATATATTCCATGGAGTTAAGGCCTTCTGGAAATATTAAGATTCAAAATAAAGTTGACATTTACTCTTCTTATAAAAACCTTCTTAGAAGAAAACAACAATGAAAGGTCTTCTAAAAGGCATTTTTGGCGAACAATAAAATATGGAAGGAGCAATTCTCTATATCTTTTTTATAGTCATACAGAGTCCCAGGGTTTAGAAAGGGAATTTGCTCTCATCTAGGAATTAAAGCTTTAGCACTAGGCAGCTGAGAGTGGGGATTTTCTTCACTTTCCATGGACAGCTCCCTTTAAATATTATTGGCAATTTAATGTTCATATTCATTTTCAATATCCAAATATGATTTTGAATTATATAGTAATCCATTTTTTGGGAAAAATTTGGAAAGTAGAGTAAAACCCCAAATAAAAATAACCTGTAATTATATAAGATAGAAAGAATTTCAGTTTATTATAGTTCAGTATTTATATGTGCTTATGTCTATATGTATTTTTATATAAGTGGAAGCACACTGTGGACAATTTTGAATTTTTCTTCCTATAACAAAAAAATAAAAATGATATTTGATGGTTGTATTGTCAAAAAAAAAAGTATAATTCTTAGAAACAATAATATAGCCACTACTTTGGGAAAAAAAACCCCAACATACCCATTCATAAACACACAAAATGTGGTATACAAATATAGATGGTTTATGAACCTCCCCAAGCAAATATGCCAGCCAAGGGTCAGGAATATCAGCTTTAAACTCACATTATCTTTATTGATCTTGTCAATTCAAATAAAGGACCTACTTCATGAACTGTCTGGGCCCTCCTAGCTTCTAGAACTTTCTCCTACTTTCTGTTTGTGATAGCACCTGGGTATTGTAGGGATGTTCTAGTTCCTGTAGAGCCATCCTACCTTAAATAAATAAGTGATTCTAAGTTCAGCTCCTATAGAAATGTTCCTTCCTAAATGATCACACAATATTAAACCTTCAGCTTTTATTGATATAGAAACTGCCTTTTGAGAAGAAAGCATTCATTCAGCAAAAACAAGTTGAAAGCTTTTTCCACTGCAATGCTGAATGTTTCACCTGCATTCATCTCTTCTAAGAATCCAGTGCCTGCTTAAGGCTAGAATTGTGGACACCTCAGCTAAAGAGACACTCCTTTTTGTCTGCCTTTATGAGATTTATCACAACAGAAGTATCTTTTAAATTTCATTAGTTTTCATTTTGTAACTTGAGACCAACATCTATACTAATAAAAGGGTAATATGCTAATTAGACCAATAGCTTTTCAGGAGATCTTCAGGACAAAGCCAAGCTGGCAGGGCCAAGGCAGAGGCAGTAAGGAGCAATCAGGCCAGGAGGGGAGGGAAGTTAGGGGTGATCAGGTCAGCAGGGAGGGCAGTTGGGGGCAAGCAGACTGACGGGACAATTGGGAGCAAGAAGGCCGGCAGCAAAGGGCAGTTGGGGGTGATCAGGCCAGAAGGGGGGTGGTTGGTGTGAGAATCCCGGAAGGCAGAGTTGTTAGAGGTGAGCAGTTAGGAGCTAGCGGTCCTGCATTGCGATAGGGATGTCCGACTGCTGGTTTATGAGAGGGATAAATGGGCAGTCAGACATTCCTTGAGGGGTCCCAGATTGGAGAGTGTGCAGGCTGGAATGAGGGACACTACCACCCTCTCCCCTCATGCATGAATTTTGTGCACCAGGCCTCTAGTATTTTAATATTATCAGTCTCCCTGGTATCTTTTAAAACTATTTTGGACATGTTATCGTAAGCCCACTTAAATCATTTCTCAACCTCGTACTAGTACTAGACTGACATTTTGGGCCAGATATTCCTTTGTTGTGAGGGGCTGTATTGTACATTATAGGGTGTTTAGCATCATCCTTGGGCTCTACCCATTAAATGCTAGTAATATCTACTCCCTTCCTTTTCCTTTTGTGACAATCAAAATGTCTCTATACATTGTCACATGTCTCCTAGGGTCAAAACTGCTCTCAATGGAGAACCACAGCAATAATGCAATACAATTTAGGATCCATAATTGACTGACCAACACTTTCCACACCCATGAAAAAAAATGTAATGACAGCCCTTTCAAGAATGCTATACTCACTGTGGCTCCTGCCACCTACGTTTGCATGCTCACAAAGAGTATGTTGTGTTTGCTCTTCAATCCATATATGTTAGTGGTTCTCATGCTAATTTTTAAATTTAATTGAACATGATGTAAAAATGAGGAACTATGAATTAGAAAAACTTTGTTTCTTTGAAAACTAAGTTGAACTCTTTGAAAAGATTCTTAAATCAGTTTAAGAAAAAACTGATGCTGAATTAGGTCTAGAGGCAAGACATCTATAAGTACAGGGAAAGAAAAAAAAAAGATTTTGACCACTGTCTTTTTGGTTTTTGTTCCTCTTTATAAATAAGCTAGAAATTCCTAGATAATGAATTGTGGGTGTGATTTATGCACAAAAGACAGTGCCTAACACCATTCAGCAGATCCACACATGTAAAAAAAAAGGTGCTGGCCTGATCTTTATAGCAAAAAAGTTATGTTGTCACATAGTAAGTACTAGCAGAGGAAAACTCTTTCCTACAACTATGTACTCAAAAAGTTACATTAGATCCAGGTTGATGTGGTTCAGTGGTTCAAGAGCATTGACCCTTGAATCAATAGGTCACAGTTTTGATTCTGGGTCAGAGCACATGCCCATGTTTTGGGCTCAATCCCCAGTACAGAGGCTGAACAGGAGACTGCTAATCAATGATATTCCTCTCTCATTGATCCTATATATATCTATTCTCTCCCTTCCTGTCTCTCTAAAAATCAATACAAACTTTTTTTAAAGTTATATTAGAGTTATAGACATTACTTCATAAGAAAACTAAGTA